AAAAAAAAAAAAAAAAAAAAGTGCTATAGATTTGAGGTCCGTTTTGAGATGACTATGTAGCGCATTGATCACGTTATTACGTGGTATTGTGGCTATTTTTATTTGTGATATCATAAAAGCCTAAGTTAATTAGTCTAAGTAATTATTTTTTCAAAAGTGTTGTAATTATAAATTTATAACCTACAAAATACTAATTATAATTAATTAATTTATAATAAATTAACATTTTTAATAGAACATATGTGGAAAAAGTTCTGTAAAAGTAATTTCAGAAGTACATTTCGCGGTTGATAGATAAATATTACATAATCTTAGCTGGCATGTACAATGGATTGATCTTTGGGTGTAGAAAAATAGCTCATCATGTAATTCCCAAGCAAACAGTGAGGAGTAAAACAACTGCCAATGTCATGAGTCCTGTGGACATCCATATCATTATTCTGAGAGTTTGATTTGAGCAGGAAAATTTAGCGTTGTTTGTGGAAAGCATCAACAGGACCAAAGCCGAGAAGAAAGAGGCAAACATTAAGAGAATTCCTGATTTGGAGATGAGCATTCTTGTCATGGAAGAATGTCTCCCTGGAACTCCGGCAAGGAAGCTGATAATCCCAGTTGAGGATACTGAGATAACAAGGCATGCAACTTTCACCCCATTTTTCATATTCTCTGCCTGACCTTCAGCAGCCGCAGTTTGCAGAGCCAATCTCTGCACCATTCCGATGCCCTGTTCTATTGAGATTTGATCAGCCCTTTCTTTCTGAAATTGCATCATATATACAAAAGGACTAACACATTTTCCAAACAACGATCCCGAGAGCTGAATTCTTGACTAATTAAGTTTGATACATGTTCTTAGCCTTTAGTGTTATTTCCGTTCATATTTATAGGCACCACATTTTTATTTTGTTATGGTTCTGTTTGGTTCGGACGTTCGCCGATAACTGTCTATAACAACTGAGAGTGTTTGAATTGTAAACAACCAGAAGTATCAATGTTGAATATTTACTATCATCCATCAGTTGTTCCTAAATGGTTAAACCAGACAAAGCCCCACTGCAGGTACAGTGAAATGTTAAAATTGAGACATATTGAATGATTTTATCAGATAAAATGCAAGTGCAAGGAAAATTCTGCACCTCTTCTGTAAGTTGCTCTTGAAGGTTATTTTGTAGGCACTCTGCTGGCAAATTTGGTGGATTGTGGATCTCTGATATTTCAGTTTGACATGAAGGCTGACCTAGGTCAGAACTAGGTACTTTAATTTCTTTTCCCCTGTCCTTGTCCTGCATCTCTGTTTTCTGTAAGTTGCCAAAGCACACATTCATTAATGTTAAAAGCAAGATGAAACATAAATGTGCGCACATACACATATATGATTCATTACCTCATCTGCTTGGTAATCTTCTCGCCGTTCAAGTGTTAATTTGATTAGTATGGCAACAAGTACCACTACTGCCAGAAATGTGATTATTGCCATGGAATCCAGATATGACCGACTGCAAAACAGCATGTATAATTAATACACCCCCCATATCATATAAACTTTAGTGCCTCTTTTCAGTTTGAACTACATTGTATTGCAAAAAAGAACTTTTGGGTGAGGAGAAAAGGTCCATAGTTTTGTGTAGGCTAGCAAAGGTCGGGCTGCACAAAACATTTTTGATCACATGTACACAAAATTTCTCTATTGTTTTTTTTTTTCTTGGTAGAATGCAATCAAATCATACAATTTACTCATTTTTATGTAAAACTGAGTTATAACTGGCTTTTATAATAGGGAATATTCACTTTTTATACCAAAAACACTTTTTACCGGAATATAGCAAGGATTAAAACCGAATGCCAGCAAGTTTCACATTCCAACTGTTGGAATGTCTGCATGTAGCAATAGCGCATACATAATAGCACACATGACGGTTGTTATAATGCTTTGATGCAAATGCAATATATGATAGAAGCACTTTTCAAAGCTGAGAAATGCAATGGAAAGGAGCAGAAATTGAGAATTGTAAAAAAAGAAATAAAGAAAACTCGGGATGATGAGTGCCTAGCTCATAGCTTACAGAGTAGCACAGAATGAGAAGAAAGACACAGTACTTATAACCAAAGCATCTTTACTTTCGACATGAATGAGAAGAAGCAACCTAATCCCTTTTATTGCCACTGAAATGAACTATTTCTCACTTACAGTACTGTTTTTTTATTCCATATACTTGTACTTAGTCGTTTCTCTTTACACTTGCACAATTATATTAAATTATCACTTTCCCCCCTTTTTTCTT